ATGTCTTTGGAATTTTGATAGAGATTGCATTGAATCATTATATCACTTTGGGTAGTATGGACACTTTAACCATATTAATTCTTCCAATTCACTCTATAGTTTTTCTATTTTCTGTTCAATTTATTTATGCTCTGATCTTTATTATTCCTTCCTTCTGATAACTTTGGGTTTATTTTCTTCTTTTTTTGTTTTTACTTTCTGGAGGTATAAATTAGGTTGTTTGATATCTTTCTTCCTTTTTAATGTAATGTTTATTGCCATACTCTTCCTGCTTAGAACTGCTTTTGTGCATAAGTTTTGGTTTGTCATGTTTCCATTTCTGTTTGTCTAAAGATATTTTTAAGTTTCTTTTTGATTTCTGCTTTGACCTGTTGGTTGTTCAGCAGTGTGTTGCTTAATTTCTACATATTCGTGAACTTTTCAAAATTTCTCCTATTATTGATATCTAGTTTTATACCATTGTGGTCAGAAAAAATACTTGATATGATTTCAGTCTTCCTAAGTTTGTTAAAAGACTTATTTTATGGCCTAACATATCATCTATCCTGAAGAATGTTCTTTATGCATTTGAGAAGAATGTATATTCTGCTGTTGCATGGAATGTTCTGTATATGTCTGTTAGGTCCATTTGGTCTAAAGTATAGTTCAAGTCCATTGTTTTTGTATTGATTTTCTGATCTATGCATTGTTGAATACGAGGTATAGTCTTCTACTATTAATACTATTGTATTGCTGTCTACTCCTCCCTCCAGATCTGTTAATATTTGCTTTATATATTTAAATTCTCTGATGTTGGGTGCATATATATTTGCTATTGTTATATCCCCTTGATGAACTGATCCTTTTATCATTATAAAATAACTTTCTTTTCTCATTTTACAGATTTTCATTTAAAGTCTATTTTATCTAATATAAGTATAGCTACCACTGTTCTATTTTAGTTTCTGTTTGCTTGGAATATCTTTTTCCATCCCTTTACTTTCAATCTTTGTATGTCCTTAAAAGTGAAGTGAGCCCTTCGTAGGCAGCATATAGTTGGGGATTGTGTTTATAATCCATTCAGACACACCATTGTCTTTGGCCAATTTAGTCCATTTTCATTTAAAGAAATTATTGATAGGTAAAGACTTACTACTATTATTTTGTTAGTTGTTTTCTGGTTGTTTGGTAAATCTTTTGTTTCTTTCTTCCTTTCTCTGTGATTTGATTTTTTTTTTAGTGATATGCTTTTGTTCTTTCTCCTTTATCTTTTGTATATCTACTATTGGTGTTGGATTTGTGGTTGCCATGAGGCTTATATAAAACATCTTATAATAGGTTATTTTAAGCTGATAACAACTTAACTTTCATTACATACAAAAGCTCTGTATTTTTATTCCTCCCCCACATTTTATGTTTTACTGTCATACTTTATATCTTTTTATATGGTGTATGTATTAAAAAGTTATTATAGCTTTAGTTATTTTAATATTTCTATCTTTTAATCTTTATACTAGAATTATAAGTGATTTACACACGACCATTACAGTATTAGAGTAATCTGAATTTGAACATGTATTTTCTTTTATCAGTGAGTTTTATACTTTCATACGTTTTCTTTTTTGTATTTTGTGTGAACTAGGGATTTTTAAAAATTTAAAAAAGATTTTCTATATGGAAAGTGAAGTGTTCCAACATTACTTATCAACTCATCTATCCTTTCACCCCTGATTTATAATACCCCCTTTGTTGCAGATGAAGATCCCTTAAATGTATGCATATATTTGGGTTTTCTGTTTCACTTAACTGATCTATTTAAACATTCCTAAACCAACACAAAACTATTTCAATTGCTAAAGCTTTTTTTAAAAAACTTCTTAAAAATAGAGACAGGGTCTTGCTCTGTCACATAGGCCAGAACTCCCAGGCTCAAGGGATCCTCCTACTTTAGCCTCCCAAGTAGCTGGAATGACATGCACAAACCACCATGTCTGGCCAGTTTTCTTATTTTTTTGGTAAAGATGGAGTCTCACTATGTTGCCCAGGCTGGTCTAAAATTCCTGGTCTCCAGTGATCCTCCTGCCTCAGCCTCCCAAATTGCTGGGATTACAGTCATGAGTCACCATGGCCGGCCCTCATATGTTTTCATATTACTAATTAGTGGCCTTTCATTTCAGCCTGAAGAACTCCCTTTAACATTTCTTTAAAGCAGGTCTAGTGGTGACGAACTCTCTTGGCTTTTGTTTGTCTTGGAAAGTCTATCCTTCCCTCATTTCTTGAAGGACAGATTTTTCTGAGTAATGTATTTCTGGCTGGCAGTTATTTTCTTTTCTCTCTGTACTTTGAATATGTCATCCCACTGTCTCCTGGCCTACAAGGTTTCTGATTAGAAATCCACTGATAGGCGGGGCGCGGTGGCTCATGCCTATAATCCTAGCACTCTGGGTGGCTGAGGCACAAGCGAGGCCCCGTCTCTGCTAAAAATAGAAAAATTAACCGGGCGTGGTGGTGCGTGCCCGTAGTCCCAGCTACTCAGGAGGCTGAGTGAGGCAGGAGGATCCCTTGATCCCCCAGGGGTTTGAGGCTGCTGTGAGCTAGGCTGACGCCACGACACTCTAGCCTGGGTGACAGAGTGAGACTCTATCTCAAGGGAAAAAAAAAAAAGAAATCCACTGATAGCCTTATTTATGTTTCCTTGTGTGAGATATGCTTCTTTCCTCATGCTGCTTCTAAAATTCTCTCTTTGTCTTTGATTTCTGAAAGTTTGATTGTAATGCGTCTTGGTGTAATCTTCTTGGGTTGAATCTGATTGGCGATCTTTGAGATTCACGTAGCCATGTTCATATCTTTTCCTAGATTTGGGAGAATTTCAGCCATCATTTCTTTAAATAATCTGTCTGTCCCTTTCTTTCTCTTGTCTCCTTCTGAAATTCCTGTTACATGAAAGTTACCATTCTTGATGGTGTATCTTATATCCTATAGGCTTTCTTCAAAATTTTTCATTCTTTTTTTTCTTCTCTGCCTGAATAACTTCAAATGATCTGTTTTTAGTTCACTTATTCTTTCTTCTATTTTATCTTCTGTTGAAGCCCTCTATTGCATGTTTTAGTTCTGTCATTGACTTCTTCCCTCCAAATTTTTTGTTTGGTTCTTTGCTTTCTCTATCCTTTTGTTGAACTTCATATTTTGTTCTTGTATTGTTTTACTATTTCACCAAATGGTTTTTCATTGTTCTCTTGTAGCTTGCTGAGCTTCTTTAGAACAATTATGTTGAAGTGTTTGTTAGGTGATTCATGGATTTCCAATTTTTTGTAATAGTTACTGGAAATTTATTTTGTTTCTTTGGTATATCATGTGGTATCATGTTTCCCTGGTTCTTTGTGATCCTTCTGGAGTTGCATAGATGTCCGCAAGTTTGTTTGTTTGTCTGAGACAGGGTCTCGCTCTATTGCCCAGGCTACAGTGCAGTGGTGTCATCATAGCCCACTGTAACCTCCAACTCCTGGGCTCAAGCAATCCTCCTGCCGCAGCCTCCCGAGTAGCTGGGACTATAGGTATGTGCCACTGCCCCTGGCTAATTTTTCTATTTTTAGTAGAGACAGGGTCTTGCTCTTGCTCAGGCTGGTCTGGAACTCCAAAGCTCAAGTGATCCTCCCGATTTGGCCTCCCAGAATGCTAGGATTACAGGCACAAGCCACCATGCCCAGCCAGTTTCTACAATTTTCAAGAAGCAGTTACCTCTTCTGGATTGGCTTCAGTAAGGATAGATCTTGGGTGTGCTTGCTGGAGTGTGCTGTGACATTGAGTTAGGGGTACAGGGCATCAAATGTGGGGACATGGGGTACTTGATTTCTAAGCTGTGCAGTATCTCATTGGCTCAGACTATTAGGGTCCATGATTTTGGTAACTGTCTGGTCCTTGGTAAGGACTGGAGGGGGTCCATGCGAGGCTGCAAAGGCTGCCTGGGTTCTCAGTAGAGCTTTGGGTTCAGTGGCAAGGGGCCAGGGTAGGCAGTGGTAGGGACCGACACCAGTGGTATGCACATGCTCAGCTGCAGGCACATGCATAGTAGCAGGGGCTGAGCATAGGTACACATGTGGCAGTGGGGGCTGGTGGCTTGCACATGCACAGGCACAGGAGTTGGGATTGGCAGCATGTTCATGTATCATTGCAGGGGCCAGTTACATGTTTAAGTATAGTGGTGGGGGCAGGCACTGGGTGGTGGGGCCAGCTGTGGGTGCACATGCAGCTGCACGGCCCAGGGCTGTTAGAGAGTACATGCACCACTTCAGGGGCCATCTGTGGGCATGTGCATGGTGGGCGGTCCCTGTGATGGGGGTCAGACTGACGTGTGCATGTGCACAGCTGTGCAGACCAGAGTTTGCAGCATGCATATGCACTGCTGCAGAGGCCAACTATGGGTGTGAGCATGGCAATAAGGGGTAGAGATGGGCATCAGGGCTGGTTTCTTGTGCATGCACAGCTGTGGCAAGCAGATGGTGGCTAGTACACACACAGCTGCAACAGCTAGTTTTGGGTACATGCAGGGCTGTGAGAACTAACAATGGGGGTTAGTTATCTGTGTGCACATGCACACCTGTGGGGACTACTGGAGTTTTTGGTGTGTACACATGTGGTTGCAGGGGCCAGTTGCAGAGTGAATGTGGTGGTAGGGGCTGGCGGCTGGAGCCAGGGCCAGCTTTGCATGCACACATGGCTGCAGCATCAGTCATAGGCACAGATGTACAGTGGTGGGGTTGGGCCTTGTGACACAGACCCATGCTATTTGTGGGCACATGCACCGTGGATGGATGGGGTCCCTGAACTGGGGTAGCCACAGTAGCAGCAGCTGGGAATGCTTCAGGGTGAGAGGAGGGCGAGGGTTGGTGGCTCAGGCAACTGCAAAGGCAAAAAAAAAAAACTGTTGGGCCCTCGGAGGAAATGGATGTCCACTGTGACTATGCTGGCTGTTTGTTTCCTCAGTAGTTAAAGGCTTCAAGGGTTGTTGAGGTCTTCAGCAGAGAAGGCTGCTGGAGTCCTATGCACAACAGGCCACTGAGGACCACAGTGGATCCTACCACATGGCAGATACTGGTAGCCTCCACCCTTTTTCTTTGTTCCTAACCATCTCCAGACATCTCAGCTGGTAGTTTCCCCAGCATTCTGAGTGGGGTGAAACTGAAGCAGATCAGTTTCAGGTAGTGCCGTGAAAGGCTAGGGAAGCTGGTTGGTTGTTCACCTCTCTCTTCTTTTCCACGCGAGGACACGAGGGGAACTCAGGAGCTGGGGGATGGTATGAGGCAGGCAAAATGAAACTGGTCTTTTTATCTTTTTTCTGCAGTTATTCTCAGGTTTTTCTTCCATTGGGTTGCTATAGCTTCTTATGTGTTATGCTCCTCTAGAGCTATTTTTGTTCATAGGTAGCTGTTCAGTTGTTGTTCTTTCTGGGGGAAAAGAAGGCTGGGATCTCCTACTTTGTCATCCTGCTGATGTCACTCTATTCCTACCAGTAACTGCAAAGTTTTTGGTTTGAGAAGTGCTAAGGATGGAGTTGCCAATTTGAGATGTGAAAGACTTAGAGGAGCCAAATTGGGTGCATGAAAAGAATAGCAAGAACTCAGCTTTAGGCGTGGTCAATTTGTGTAGGTGTGTGGATAATTGAATCTGAGTGTGGTTAAAACTGGAGGTGTATATATTTTGAAGTTATCATCCCTTAGATATTATACAAAGCCACACCAAAGTAATGTATACAGATTAAAAGAGAGAAAGAGAGAAACTGTACAAGACTTGTGTCATTTTATAATGTTGGCTGGTTGGGTAAAGAAATGTTTAACGTTGTGGATGTTGCCAGTTTTCTGAAGTGGTGTGCCAAATTACGCTCTCACCTGCAGTGTTTGAGATTTTCAGTCCCTCCAGATCCTTGCCGGTATACTTGTGTCCTGTGATTCACTTTTAACTTATAAAATTCTGTTTGAAACTACTTGATTATAACTATAAAATGCAAGGTATGTATTTAAGAGTTCACCAACTGACCAAAGCACCTGGGAAAATTTATTCTTTCTTACAGTAGCAACATTTCCTAGTGTTACTGCTACCACTAATAACAATCAACATGTGGTTGATTACTATGTGCCAGCCATTATTCTATGAGTTTTCAACATATCAATTAACTATCACAATACCTCAATGTCATGAGGACTATTATTGTGCTTCTCATTTTATAGATGAAGATACCAGGGCACGGAGAGGTTAAACATCTTGACTAAGGTTGCAAACTGAGTAAAAGGCAGTGTCAAGATTTGAATGCAGGTAGCCAGGTACAAACTTGGCTCTTATTTGTGTGCTTGACTGCCTGTCCTGAAGGAGTTGTGAATGTGATCAATTGTTTAATAAATCTTGTGCTGCTCCCTTAGATTGGCTGAGATGCACAGTTCATGCTTTTCCCCATTTGACATTGTTAAATCAGTAGAGGAGAATCAATTTCTAAAGGATTATAAACTTCCTTTCTGACAGAAAGATTTGCAAGGTGTCTGTTTAAACATGTGCAAAATGTACCTTAGATTTAATAGAAGCTATTTTAGGGTATTATGATGTCAAAATAATGTGTGAAATTTAACATGACCTAAGTTAAGAGATAATTACACTCAAATTTCTCCATGGCTCTTTTAGGTTTTGTGCCTTTTGAAGGTGACTGGTTAGAAGTTGAGTATTTCATCCAGCCAGGCACCTCAAACATCATGGGCTCAGTGAAGCCCATGTACTGTAAGCATGTGGATGAGCTAATTTGTTTCCATGTTGCACTTGTCATTAGTTTCTTGTAAACTTTCCTTTAGTGATAATTTTCTCGTCCAGACATCTATTGGGTATGCTGGAAAATGTAAAAAATATGAGAAGATATATTCTTTACCAAAGAGAAGCCTACTTTTTAAATCGAAATGGTAGGACATCCAAAAGGAAATAATTAGAAAATGATGTAGCACACGTATATAATTAAGTTCTAAGTTGTATAGTTTATTTGGTATTATAATGTTATCAGGATGTTCTGAGGACAATAGCAAGAAACACAATTTGTATGCCAGAAAATTTTGGGGAAAGAATAAATGGAGTTGGTTATGGATTTTGAGCTTTCCAGTAAAGGCTAGGTATGATTTGGATAGTGGAGCCTGAAGATGAGAAGGAAATTCAGTTTGAACAAAGGTACAGATTAAATAATGAGCTTGGAATGTGACTGAGGAAGTAAAGAAAAGAGTATAGTCTACTTACCACTACATTCCTTTCTCACTCAATCCCATTCACTCTCTCAACCTTAACTGAATAGGTTAAATGGCCATTGTGGATAATATTTAGAGTAGAGTTTCTCATCATAGACCTGGGCCACATCCACAGAGATTCTGATTTAATTGGTCTGAGGTGGGGTTTGAACATAGTTATTTTTACAAAGCACCCCTGGTGTTGCCAGTGTGCCAGCCAGGTTGGGAATCACTGATGGAGATCGAGTCACCTGCAGGTTAGAGCCAGAGTGAGGAGGTGCAGAGCCTGTTACAGTGTGTTATGCTTTTACATAATCATTTCCATAATTTATGCTTACAGGTTTGCATTACTAACCTCTGTGGAAGACATGAGATGATAGATGATACTATCTTTTTCACTTTGGATTCTCTGAAACTTCCTGATGGATACATACCTCAAAGATATGATGTCGTCAATGTGGTTATGGTGGAGAGCATGCAGCCATGCTGTATCTGGAGAGCAGTTTCCATCACCCTTGTGCAAAGGTTGTAGTAACAAAACATTTTTATTCCCTATTCATCTTTTCTTCTATGGACAGTGAAAGGCCTGGTTTAACTGAAAAACTTAGTTTAATAAGCCTAAACAATATTTTAAATACGACTTTTCTGGTAAATCCAATTAAGATACTAACTAGTTCACTTGGGACCATGAACTCACTTTAGGGAAGTGCCTTATGAATTACAAAGCATGCTACAGCCGGCTAGTTACTGTAGGAAGGAATTCTTGCAAATAACACTGTAATTAAATTTAAATTCCTTGTTTTTCATTACCGGGAGTGGATTTGGGAATGGCAGAGGCCGCAGATGGCCTCCAAGTCACCATCAGACACAAGGAAAGCATTTAACTCAAGAGGCTGCAGGGCCAACATAGTAATGGACATGATTTAAAGGTATAATTTGCCTTCAATTTTGAATTACCCTTATGCTGCCTGTTATATTTTTATTTTTCCATAGCATTTTCATCTCCTGTCACCTACACAATCACCTAAATTGTTATATTTATTGTTCACCTATGTCCCTTTTTCCCATACTAGAATGTAAACTCCACAAGGGTCGGATGTTTTTTGCTCTGTTTTTTCATTAACACATCACCAAGGACTTAGAAGAGTGCCTAGGCCAGGTGTGGTGGCTCACGCCTGTAATCCTAGCACTCTGGGAGGCCGAGGCGGGCGGATTGTTTGAGCTCAGGAGTTTGAGACCAGCCTGAGCAAGAGCGAGACCCCGTCTCTACTAAAAAAATAGAAAGAAATTAGCTGGACAACTAAAAATATATAGAAAAAATTAGCCGGGCATGGTGGCGCATGCCTGTAGTCCCAGCTACTCGGGAGGCTGAGGCAGGAGGATCGCTTGAGCCCAGGAGTTTGAGGTTGCCGTGAGCTAGGATGACGCCACAGCACTCTAGCCAGGACAACAGAGTGAGACTCTAAAAAAAAGAAGAAGAAGAGTGCCTAGCACATACTTGTGACAGATTAAATGTTATTAAATTCAATGAATGAGTGATCTGGCCAACAATAATGCTTAGCTGTGTTTAATTCATCACTCATTTTCTAGGAATAAAACTATTGAGCAACACATTAAGACCTCAGCTGATTTTTTTACCGAAAACATCTCCAAATCTAGTGTGCATAAGCTTTAAAGTGGCTAATGATCTACTTTTTTTGAGAGGTGAAGCCCAACTCCGTACATTAATTAGGGGGCAAACCAGAGCCCCTTGATGGAAGCGGGAGCTGCTTATCCATGGGCTATGATGGTACTAAAATCCCACAAGTACACTCATGAAAATTTTCTTTCTTTCTCTAACAGAGCATTTAACCAGGTAACTGTGACCTAGGGAAAGGGATATAGTCAGACCTTTAGGCATCACTGGTGAGTGGTTGTGTGCTCACTCTCAGTTCTGGGATTCATAATTCTACCATAATCCCCTGATCAGTGGATAAACAAAGTTTGGTTCTGAGTTTGCTTTAGAGGTCTAGTGGGACTTTTCAACCATTTAGTGGTTAGTTTCCCACTTTATATAATCATAGCAGGAGTGAATATCCTGTAGAGTTTAGGCTTTCACTCATTGGTTCACTCCACAAATACTTACTGATTCCCTTTTTTGTGGCAGACACTGTTTTGGGCACCATAGTTACAGCCTTAAACCAAAAAGACAAAATTCTAGGCCTTAACGGAATTTGTGTTTTGTTTATACGCCGCCGCATGGCTTCCTGACCATGCAGCAGTAGCTCCTAGGATAGACAGGGGCAAGTGGGAGCTGTGGGAGCTGCAGGTCCCAGTAAAAGTCGCATTCAAAAGCAGCCCCACACCTCGTGGGAATTTGCAGAGAAGTCCACCATTGGATTTGAGAGATACATGGGCTATGGATTCTACCACCTCCCCATTTAATTCTCTAGTTTGGTTGGTGTGGAAGAATGTTCTTTGAGAGTAACAGTGGATTATGGTAAGCCTGATCAGGTGGTGATTCAATCATAGCCGCTATTTTATCAACATCTTCACTGGAGTGAATGAATCACTTCAGCTCCTGGTCACCAAAAGCAATGGTTGCACAGGTGAACAATTTTCCTTCATCCTTTTAAATAGCAAAGTCCAGAATCTGTTTGTCATAGGGCTGCTCCAGCAGTGGTACACTTTGAACATTTTGCCTCAGGGATATGTCAGCTTTGAGGCTCATTGCCATAATTTCAAATGCAGGCTCCTTGATCATCTCGCCTTCATTGAGGTGTCACACTGTTCTCCCTAAATGGTGCACTAGGATTAGGAGAGCAGGAAGTAGCGGGATGGGTTAAAACCACGTTTTCCTCAGGTGAGAAAAAAATGGCCTGAAGATACAAGGATCTGCCATCTGAATTTCTGGGTCTCCAGTGTTCTGTGGTATAGTTTCCAACTGGCATTCCATGAATGGGTTGCAAACTAGATGCCCCTCAGCTCATTTAGGGATACAGGCAATGAAGTAAAGGAAATCAAACAATGATCTTGAACAGGGGTTGGCAAACTATGGCCCTTGGGCCAATTCTGGCCTGCTGCCTGAAATGAGTCTTAAAACATAAAGTTCCATAAAGTAACTGGAACCACCAGGCGCGGTGGCTCACGCCTGTAATCCTAGCACTCTGGGAGGCTGAGGCGGGTGGATCGCTCAACGTCAGGAGTTTGAGACCAGCCTGAGCAAGAGCGAGACCCCGTCTCTACTAAAAATAGAAAGAAATTATCTGGACAACTAAAAATACAT